CTAAAATTATCGAAACAACTTTATTTCAACTGAAATTATTAAAGTCAAACTAAGTTAAATTTTAAAAATAATAGAAATATGTAAGAACAAACAAATATATATATATATATAGTTATTTCAATTCTGATCGCTAATGTGCATTCTGACACATACTAAAGTGCAATGTTTCAATAGCTAATGTGCCGTCTGTCATGCATTTATTATTAGTTTTATATTATTTTTATTTTTATATTATTTAAACATATGCACATTAAAAATATATAAAAAAATAATATATTGTGTTAACTTTATATAATTTCTGATTTAACTAAGGGAGAAACTGAAATATATTATTTAAAAAAAAAAAATCCAATAAGTCCTTACACAATATCATATTTTAAAAAAGAAAACTCAATCCCTAATTTGAATTTCAGTTGTTTTCCGGCGAGTCAGCCTTACACATTAATGTCGCTGTGTGTAAGTGTGTGTGTTTTCCATCAATATAAGTGTAGCTATTTTTAACTTACTAGTACGTACCCCGTGCAATGCACGGAACAAAGATATTAAATGAGTTATTTTCATAGTCTTGTCCGTTTAAGTGTAAAAGGTAATAATGTAATAATGTTATTCAAAAATTCTATGGAGTCATCGGATGGTTTACTTATGGAGCCATCCATGACTTAGTGTATTGACACTTGTCCAAAGTGCATTTATTGTAGGACACGTGTCAATACACTATTTGTAAATAACTGTGGATGGCTCCTTAAGTCGAGCCATCCGATGGCTCCATAGCAAAACTGTTATGTTATTATCTATTTTCTACCTCTTTTAATCAACGTTAAGTCTAAAAATTTATTAACCGCCCTCTCGTAAATATGTATGGAGTTATGTGTTCGTGTCTCATAAGTCACAAGCATTATGAATAACATTACAAATTATTCATTCAAACTTTTATTCATTGCAGATATATTAAAATAGTTTATATAACAGCCATTAAGTACCACATTCAATATATTTAAAAATAAAAAGTACATAAAATTTCTGGTGTGTTCAAATTTAAATAATTTTTTGTGGGCTCAATTTTAAATCATCCTGACATTTGGTCAAACACATAGGTGTGTTCAAATTTAAATCATTGGCATTATGGTTGGTTGAAATTTAAATCATCTACCATGGTACTGTGATGTGTATTATATATACATACAATTTTTTTTTAACAAATAATATGTGCTTTATAAAATAATAATAATAATTTCACAAGATTATAAATGTCAAATTTAGTTTTTAATCACAATAGAAAAATCATGGTAAGTTGTATTGAAAAGGTATTATGAGATAAAACAATTAACTAAAATAATTAAATAAAATACTTGATGGAAATAGAATGCATTAATTACATTTGACTTTTCTTACTACTAATTCTAGTAAATAGAGTGTCTTTTTATATAAGTATAGATTTTGCCAATTTATTCACGCGTCAAATTTATTCCTTTTTTTAAGGAATCAAAGCCCATACAATATGTTATTAATTTACGGAACAATATGTAAATAAATCCATATAGATGCATTTACCTTTTTTTACGGAATCAATTGATTTAATTAATTTAATTTTTTTTTTTACGAAAACGCTCACTCGGAAAGAGATTCTAAATTCCATATTGCAGAGATTCTAATCGGAAAAAATATCTATTATATATAATAGAAAGTTTGTTAAGGTTATATTTATAGAGATTCTAATTGGACATATAATCTATTCTATATTTATAGAGATTCTAATCGGAAAAAACATCTATTTCATATTACAATATGTAATTAATGAAAGTTTGTTAAGTTACTAATTTTAGACAATAATTAATGAATTTGGCGGGAAAAGATTACTAAAAGTGAATTAAGTTAATCCTTATTATATATTAATAGATTTGTCTCAACCCAAACTAACAACAAAATAACCGGTTCATTTGTCCGATTAATCGATTAAACTAATTAGTCAAAATAATCTGTAATTAATATAATAATATATTTAGTATTTTAATATTTTTATTAATAATTTATATATACATATATTTATGTATAACAGGCATAATATATATATATATATATAATGTAATACTTTTATATAGCTTTGTTAAATCTGTTAGTTCTATTGTTTTAAAACATATCCAAAATATTAAAAGTACAAAAACAAATAATAATAAATCTCTATTTTTAATTGTTCACACAAGATCATTGCATTATAATAATGGGCACTCTTGAAATCATTAATGTGCATTCAATGTAGGCTATCACTAGTACATGTTATTTTTAATATACATATCCTATATACATAATATATTTTTTTAAGTATTATGTATTGTAATTATTATTATTATTATGTACTTATTATTTTTTTTTTAATAAATTATATATTTGATCATGTACTAAATTAAAAAACATTCAAATTTTATGAAATTACATATATGTCCATATTATATATATTTTAATTTTTTTTTGTCTAACACATGCCCCTAAATTAATATTAAAAAAAAAAGAACAAATTGGTTGCACAAATATATACTAATTGCATATATGACCCT